TTGCTTGCAACATCAAAAGAGGCCCAAAATGACTACTTTTAGTGAATTCTACCTTGAAAAACTGACCATTCACTGAACTGCTGCTGATCCTTCAAATGTTCCACCTGCAAAGCAGAGGGACTGGATTAAAAGCATAAATAACATGCATCAATTACTGCTGTAACGCACTGCTGGTGCGTTAATTCTTATTATAACCAAAACCTTGAGAATATTAGTAACCTACATATTACTGTTGTGAGAATGAGATAAATGTGAAGAAAAGGACACTGGAAGCAACTGGTTCTGGTTCATGGGGGGCCTTCATAGAAACTGTTTGACTGCCTGACACATATAGAAGCCATATAGTAAAATGATTTGCCTTTGCTTTAAGAGTGATAATCGTTAACTGCTTAAGCTCAAATGTTAAGTAAGAAAGATGTTTAATTTGAGATACTCTTTATTTCTTCAATAAGCCCTACATCTCTTCATCTCTTGTACCTGACCTCCTCTTTAGTGACCTTAGAAGTGGATTTAGTGATGAAATAGCGTGTGGAAATTGTAAAACAAGTTCTGTTGTTGTCTTCTAAAGAGAAGACCAGCTGTTGTTACAGTTGTAGCGTGTTGCATTATGGGAAACAGTACGTGAGATAGACTGGTCTGATGCATACTGGAGATTTTTCCCAGATCAGTACGCCATCCGGGTATTTTTGGCATACTGGAGATTTTGCTTTTGTTTGCATACTGCATACTACATACTACATTTAGGCCAAAACAGTACATACTGCTAGTATAGTAGGCGGTTTACAGCCATTGTTTGAGAAAGAGGTGGGGTCCTCCCTGTGTTTTTCTTTAATTAAGTAGCTGACTGGTAGTTGATATGATTTGACTTTGGTTGTATATAGAAGATTTGCTCTGCTGTTAATTATTTTTCTTTTTGTGCACTTAGTTTAAAAGGTCACTGGTGAGGAAGAAGAGGCACTCCTTTTTTAAAAGGGGAGGAGCCTACTGCCTGAAGGTCCCAGGTGGAGCCTAGGATGTTACAGAGAATTTTTGTGAGAACTTTGTAAACGCTTTTTAGCATTAGTTTTTTAAATAAATACGTTTCTCTTTGGGTGAACGCCCCAAAAGGAAACTAAAAGGCTTTTCCAATTTGTCTTCATTTTCTTCCCCTCTTCTGGACTGGTAAGTTAGTATTTACTTACTTTAACATCCACACTGCCTAAACCAACACACCTCATTACAGATACCCAGAGAACTGGCCTTTTGAGGAACTCATTCCATATTATGAGTCCAGTGTCCTACTCTCTGGAATCTAAAGTGAGAGAGGATTGAAATGGTTGCCTAGGAAACTTTTCAACCTGGAGTTAGAAATTTAATACAGTCAGGCCAGTATTGAAACTAGCGTGTTATCACCCCTGATAACAAGCTAGTTTCCTAAGTGGTAACTGAAGTCATATTGCACTAAGGGCGCCGGAGTTTGGTGACCCGAGAGAGCGAGGTTTCCTTGCAGAAGGGCCAGTTGTTGCTACAATACACACACTGACGTACTGAATGTGTGCTTTGTACCAAAGCTAGAAGAGCACAATCTATACAATATATGTTCCGTTTGTTCCCGACAGCGCAAGCTTTTGAGGATCCTGGAAATGCTCATGGGATCTGCTGCAGAATAGTGGAGTGAGTGTTTGTTATTGTTCATCATTTTTATGTCTTGTTGTGCCTTTGTCTTGTGGCAATTCAGTATCGTTCATTAACTTCATATTGTTATTTTTGTTGCTCAAAAGCGAATATTTCACTTCAGTAAAGCTCATTTAAGTTGGATTTGAAAAAGGAACAAAGACAAACAGAGACAGAGAGAGACAGAAAAAAAGAGACAGTGACAATATTTCTGCCTAACTCTGACAGACTAGAGTCTTTCACATCTCCACTGACTTTGAAAGTCATGAATGGAATACTTAATATGAATATTCGCATTCTCTTTCCATTGTGTGCTTGTGTTTGTGACTGCTCAAACCCCAAAGACGGACACTTTCAGCAGCCTATATATTTTGCTGTTGAGGCGATACGGTAACTGAGATAGAGGGTTTTGTTGCAGCTCATTGCATAATGTCAATAGACAATTAGGCATTTACTGGATTCTACCCACAAGCTAATTAGTGTTACGTAATTAGCGGAGGGAGAGTCTTAAGTGTTCCCAAATGGAGCACCAGATAGCCACTTACGCAGTGCTTAGCTGTGCTTCGGCCTGACACTCCAATCACAGCCCCAGAGACACTCAGACGAGGACTAGAGGTGCTTGACAAGGCTCAACATGGCGTTAAGTCAGGATAAGTGGTGTTCAGTAGTGACAAGGCCGCAGTGCTGCTTGGAATTTTATTTTTTTTTCAAAAATGGTCAGTGCTGTTTCTGTATGGCCTGAACACTCATTTTAAGCAACGTCCTCAAGCAAGGAGGAGAAACTGAAAGGCTTTACACTAGATTTTCACTTTGGAAAGGAGTGCTGCTGGTCTTTGCAGAGTTTTCTCTGAGCACACTTCTTCTCTGGAATGACATGTTCATATAAAAGCTGACTAAACAACTTTTGAAGATGCCAAACACAACTTTTCTTAGTTACATATTCCAGTCGTGCTCATCCGTTTGACCTCGCATCATCTTGCAACACATCTTGTTTCTTTGACTCCCTCTCCCCAGCCTGTCTCCCTTGGGTTCGTTTCAAAAGTGCCTCATCTCTTTAGCTCTGATGGACTTCCAGCTGTGATGCAAGCATTTCCAAGACTGCCATGTCTCTTTGCATCGCCCCTCTGCCTCCTTTACATCTCTCTATCTATCCGAACTCCTCCATGTGATGTGCTTAAATCAACAATTCAGTCACATCTATCCCTGGCTATCTGTCTCTCGTCCATCAGTTTATTCTAGATTCTTTGTCTTGTTTCTCAGTCGGAGGCACCAAATGGCAAATTCAGGTCAGACAGCCAGGCGGCCATCAAATACAGCTTTCATGAATGAATGAATGAAAGGAGCTTGGGGCAGCTGTGGCTCAGGAGGTAGAGTGGGCTATCCACTAATCAGATGGTTGGTGAGTCGATCCTTGGCTCCTCCAGTCTTCATTTCATAAGCTATGTTCAGACTCCAGTGATCTAAATCTGATTTTTTTTTTTTGCTCATATGTGACTCAGATCAGACTTTCTACAGTGTGAACAGCCCAAGGAACACATCGGATCTTTTCCTGTTCATATGTGGTCCAAATCAGATACAGGTCAGATTTTTTGAAATGCAACCTCCTTTATCACTCTGATGAACAGTTGACTCCACACACACAGTGTCAGGAATAATCTCTGGGCAATAACCCTGTGACTCTAACATCTACCTGAATATTTAGTACTTACTATTTATTCCTAATTGTAGCAATCAACATGCACGCAAACTCCTCACCTTTTTGCCGTCAGTCGGTTATATCTATCGAGTCCACTCGGTTGCATATGCCTAACCAATCGTCACACCTAATGGCTAAACCCGTCAGCCAATCAGAGTCTGAGTAGGGCAGGTCTTTTGTCAAGTCTGCTACACTGCGGAGTCTGACAACTGAACACATTAGCATGTTACTGCTGAACTGCCGAGAGTTGTATGTTACTGTTTTTAGGGTTGTATTTGTTTATTTATTGATTCATGTCAATGTACAGCACTTTGGTCAACCTTGCTGTTTTTAAATGTGCTTTATAAATAAAGTTGGACTGGATTGGATAGTTTTGATTCTGATTTATATTTTCAGTCAGATCGGAATTTATGCAACTCTGACATCACTCTAAAGCAACCGTCGTCTCAGTTCTGCGTCTGGGCAGAAACAGTAGAGAGAGAGTTGTAGGGCTTATACATACAGTACAGTGCCAGAAACTGTAATCAATGCAATGGAAAGTACACAAAGTTGTGAACATTTGTCATAAATCAGGAGAATTGTGACCCCGGGAGGAAACAAGAGAGGGCAATGAAAAATGGGACGTTTAGCAAGAATGAGCTAACCTTTGTGGCCTCCATGTTTATGTCCTTAGGATTGCGTGCTGCGTGTGATGTCGTATTATTATATTATCTTTTGCGCTTGCGGGTCACTTTCAGGCCGTGGCCAGTTCACACTAAAGTCTGATATGGGCCACATTAAAAAAATAATGTGGCAAACTATCAATCAGAAACACTGGATCTGGACGATAAATCGGAATTGAGTATTAAGGCCTGCAGTGTGAACGTAGCCAGTGTCCTTGGGCTAGATATATGCGTGTTTGAATCCATCTGATGAGCAGTTCGCATGGGAGCCACTGCCATCAGTGTATGAGTGTGATGAAAAACACTTTGAGTAGTCAGAAGACAAGAAAAATGCTATACAAGTACTGTTCATTTACCATGTATGTGAAATGGCTGTCATAGTCCATTCGTTTTAAAGGCCCTGTGCGTCCAAAGCGAGAGCTATGCACGGATTCTTGGCAGTAAGTTGGGCTCGTTCCAGGTGGGGATTGGCCTCCAATGGATGATGGATCCATCCGTGACTCCAAGGGTTTTTCTTTGTTTTTCTTGTGTATTTTGTGTCTCTTTCTCTTTGTGGCCTTTTGTGAATGAGTATGTGTGAGTGTGTGTATGTGTGTGTGTGACTGGGTGTGGCTTTCCTAGGACAGCTGACAATCTCCTCATCATTCCAGTGTTTCCCACGCCTTCAGCTACACCACACGGCAACAGGACCACTATTGCTATACCTGTTCTTAACCTGCCAGCTTACCTCTACAACCATCACACCGTCCTAATCCTCTTTGAAACCTTTGTCTTTAAAAAAAATTTTTGGCAACAAACCCCTGCAAGTCTGTTGTTGAGCTGTTGCTGCTGTAGTGGTGTGTACCTCTATGCAGACCCACAGGTGTTTAGCTGCTCTTGAACGCACCTCTAGAGCATCAAATTAGCTCCACCCAGAGCAAACCCCCTCATTAGCAGATCTTATTTAAGGCAGCTGTGTTATCACATCTGCCTTTTTGCCTTTTACCTGCCTGTAGGTTGCCACATGTAACCCTCTGTGATGTTTAGGTAGGTGATTCAGTTAAAACGAACCTGTCTTATGTTTGCATTGTGGTTTCCCAATGACTGAGGTTGTATGTTTTGCGGCAGTCTGCTGCCCAAGTGTTTCATGTGGTTTGGCTGATTCCAAGGTTCCCTGTCTGGAGTGGCGTGATGTGTTGTCCTGTACAGAGCACTGTGTGTTAAGGTATGAGAAGCTTAATGAGCAACAAGTAGGGGATAACTACCTGAGGTGACATTGCACATCTATTACTTTTATAAAACTGTTGCTAATATGTATGTGGTTTTTAATTGTAATTTGTCAGCTGCTGTTTTGCATTTCATCACTACGTTCTTGTTGAATTCTGGCAGTGTAGATGCCAGAGATGGGGACTCGAGTCAGAGACTCAGACTCGAGTGCTTAAGTCGCACAAAGTGACTTCAGACTTGATTCGGACTTGAGGTGCGGGACTCGTGAACAATGTTTATTTTTTAGGAAACTTCTGATGAGCTTGCTGTTCCCTCACTCCGTTACCTATAACCTGCCTACGTAACATCTGCTGCGTACGGCTGCACGTGAGAGGACAACAAACAGTGGCAGCTGCTGAGCCATTCATCATAAACTTTGGCTTTAAAACTTCATACAAGACCCAAAGAAAGAAGTGCTGAACGCAAATAGGTTAGTAACCTGTAGTGAGTAAACATGTTTAGCTCAGCATTGGCCATCTAACGTTAGCTTGCTTCTTGCTTTAGCTACGACCTACAAGAGGTTTACTCCGACTGTCGTTATGACCGTCCCGCTGGCTGCCGTCACCCATAGTCTATGCCATCACCTTAATTATTGCCGTTGGCTGGAAAGAGGTTACAGGTTTATTGTTGTTCATGTAGCCTTACAGTTTTATTTATAACATTACACTGGTTTGAGAGTCTGCAGGGTGTGCTGACTCACAGTAGTTTAAGCTGTCATTAACTGCATTGCAAATAACATGGTTGTGCTCTGTAAGTTAAAAACAGGTTACAGCTTTATTGTTGACCATTTGACTTTACGGTTTTATTCAGTTAACTTTAGACTGGGTTTGAAAATCAACAGGGTTTGTTTACTTAGAGTAGTTTATAAGTTGTCATTAATTGTAGATGCATTGTACATTAGGCTGCATTGTTGTGCTGTTAAGTTAAAAATACAAATTTGTTGATTATGCAACATCAGTTTTATTTAGTTAACGTTACACTGGGTTTAAGAGTCAGAGTGACTTGCAGTATTTAATAAACCAATAATTGCATTGTACATTACATGGTTGTGCTCTGTGAATGAAAAGCAGGTTACAGAATTCCTTATAGCTATGCAGTTTTATTAACAACCTGGATTGAACACAGCAGATGATACAACATTCGTAATAACCACGAGAGACTTGAGAATTGACTTGGACTCTAGCTCAAAGACTTGTGAGCATCTCTGGTAGATGCTCATCACTACGTTGAATACATACGTTTCGAAGAAGGCAAATAAGCTTTGAATCGCAGCAGTCTTTTTAGTCATTAGATGGTGGATGAGAATATAAGACATATGTACTCCCTCAGATAATTTGATTGGTTAGCTCAGTCAGTAATGTGCAATACACTCACCTGGAATGTTGTGTTTGATCCCACGGTGGGTACATGTCTTGCACTTTTATTTTATTGGCAAAACCACTAAAGAGGAAGTGATATTATTGCTGGCGGGCAGTTTTGGTGAGGATACATAATCAGAGAAACAATGTTGTGAAATGCTTTTTAATAAACTTCCATTCCACAATCTACTATGTGGTTTATAATGGACTATGTTGCAAAAACGGTGACAATGTTGCTCACTCTTGGCTTTCATTTTCTATGTTATCTGTCAGTGGCCAAGTCGAAATAACAAATGGTTTTACTAAATAATTAAATATAATTTATTATATCTAAAAGAAATGTAATTTCTTGACTTGCTACTCTTTGCTGTCTCAGAGTTTTGTCCTGTGTCAGCCATACTGGTTGGAGCGGTAGACTAGACAGTTGGTTGCAATTAGCAACCTCACCACTAGATGCCACTAAATATTACACACTTTACTTTCACATGTCAAACTAGAGAAGCAGGAAGTGATCACTTTGAAGTACAAGTCCTGTAAGACAGCAACTCATCTCTGGAAGACTGATTTGATTGGTGAAAATGAATAAATGACCTTTCAACTGAAATGCTTTTTGATCAACTTTGAAATACACCAAGATCGACAGATGCTGTAGACAGGAAAGGGAAAAAAATACAGCATGTCACTTAAGAGTCACTTAATCCAGTACAAAGTGAGATCAATAGCTGTTATGATTTGATCACTTAAGCATTAAAGAATACATTTTCATGCTTCACTTTTAAGACCGCATGGGAAAGAAGTTCCAGAAGTGCTATGATTAGAATAACTACTAATGAGCTCGCACGTTAGACCGATTAGATCATCACCATGACAATTCACCAATATCACATTTGGATAAAGGATTATAAAACTCTGTGAGAACTCCTATGTTAAAGTTTATTATAGGAAGAAACATGGTTAGAATCTGTTGCTGTCTTGAGGAGAAATCCAACAACTTATTTTTTTTGCTGTGGGATTTTAATGCAGATCGAAGGAACAAATCAGCGTGGTTTCAAAGCAAGGAACTAGTGTGTATACATGATTGCAGTGAACAGTTTTTCTTGGACTAAGACATTACTGTTTTTTTGTTTTTCTTCATATAACCTAATTATCCTTTGTTTGTACCAGAATGTGCCATGGGCTCGTACAGATTTTCTCCTTGTTCAGGTCTCTTTTTTTCAGTGTCTTGCATTCTTCTGTCCTCTCGATCAATTACCTCTGTATTTCCCTTTGTTTCATGCCATCCACAAGTGATGAACCCTCAAGCCAACGGTCTATAATGCCAGTGGCTTGGATTCAGTCTCCCTCTGAGCAGAAAAGGGTTTGCATTTGGACTCAAGCTTCAAGCGCGAATCTGTCTGCTCCTGATAGAAGCCTCGGCCTCACTTGTTATCATCAGACACTTCATAAGTGATTCACAATTGGACGCTTTTCTGAACCGGGACCCAGAAATCAAATCGTGAATGACTTTGACACTGCAGTATCCCTCCAGCAGTGTGCTTAAACAGCTCTCCTTCCTGCTGAATGACAGCAACCTGCCAATAAAACCCATTTAGTGTTTGAAGAGGGGACGTTGTCTACAATGGCTGCCTGGACCACAAGTCCTTATAAGTCTAATATATAATTAGAGTGGTATTTCTTCTTAATATATTGTAGGTTTTGTAAATGTAAGTTTACACAATTACATTTGAATTGTGGCTCAGACACAGCATGGGTCTCATTTAACATCTTGTCAACAGCAAGTTCTGCAACAGGAAATCAGTGTGCACCCATTAAAGTCTTCTGAATTTGTCAGAAATTTGAAGTCTCCTCACTCTTTGTGTCAGAAAATATACTTTAATGATGCTACTATGCATATTTTTTTTTTTAAAGGAGAGAAAAACAATTTATAAGTGGGAACAGTGGCTGAGGTTAAGGCCTCTCAATTGGCATTTACCATGTCTGTGATTGACAGGCATCTGAGGGCTGGTGTTGCTAGGAAACACACCTACATGGTGTGTTATTGACTGCAGCATTTCATCCTGTATATTAGTCCACTGTTGTTACAGGGATTTTCCTCCCTATTTAGCCAACATATCAATGATTATACACCATTTAGCTTGATTTAAGTCAGTCCCCTTACAACATTCATTCAAGATTGTATTCCCCTCAAACTGAAAGCCAAAATGGGCTAACTTCCCCTACAAAAAATGCTTCAATAGCACGAATTCCCACTAAACTGCCAATGACTGACTAAAAAGAGGGGTCTAGCCAGCAATAGCATTTCTTTCATGGGACCAGTTGTGGTGGCAAATCACCAAATGATTAAAACTTGCAGCAGTGGGTAGTCCTGAAACAGCACTTTGTGCCTTACCCTGCAATTTTAATCACAACACAAGGTAAATACTTAAAGCCCCCTCCAGCCAGTTTAAACTGCTGTTTTTGGTTAACGTCTCAAACAGAGAATGGGGGTGCGATTAATAGTCGGACGTAATTACCATGACAACCAAAAACTGACCGGCTAGAGTGTTCACTAACGATATGCTGTGTTAATATCACTACACTGTAAAGTTTAGTACACTTTACTGTCTGGCAGCAGTAGCTATTAGCCATGATAGAAACTAATGTGCTCGTATCAGCTGTTATCAATCATACAGTCGATGGTCCTGTCACACACTGCACACGATAAGTCCCACTACGTTTTATGGTGCGTTTACTTTATGCATTGGTAAAACGACTGTCAGTAAAAATGCATGTTGCAGACTGTAACGTAAGATACGTTTTCTGTCAAACAACGCACGCACAAATGTCATAATGAAAATGAACAGCACACTGAACCAAGAGGACGAAACTAAAAAAATTAATTGAAGACCCTCTGTTGGCTAACTTTCTGCAATAACTACACCTGGCTAACTAAACTAGAAAGACAAACCAACAATCAGACACAGAGACATACCTACTAAATTGGTTAGCTAGCTCACAACGATGTTTCAGTTTGATGCTCTGACTTAACGAGGCGTGACTGCGTGACAGTTTTTTAATGAGGCATGACTGTGCGCCTGCACAAGCTTGGAGAATGACATGACATCACAACCCCGTTTTAACAACTATGCAACCTTTTCAACTTTTGAGCACAAAATTAAACCATTTGTCAAAAAATATTTGGCGAACTATGTGGGGTTATCAACATTGTAAGGAAATGACTCAGAAAAATATGAAATATCATAGCAATGTCAAAATGCACTGGAGGGGGGCTTTAATCAGAGTAAATGGAGAGGGTTGGGAGTTAGAGGGTGCTCAAATCACATATGGTGCAAACAGCTAACAATGTTGCCACCTCCAGCTGGTTAAGTCCATGTGTGGCTGATATGAAGTGATATTACAGTTTTTAGAAGAAAAAAATTATTT